TAATTCATAAATAATTAAATACTCGGAATGAATGAAATGATCAGCGATTACTTGGGCACACATTCCGACACTGATATCCCTTTTCACATCTTGTGTGCAATAAGCCTTACAATCAGATACTGTTCAGACGACTAAAGTTACAAAGGTAATCATACATACATAGCTTATAGGTTATAACAAATATCAATATAACAATATAATTACAATTGGTGCATTGATTTACTTGCACTGTACTTTACATGTGACTAGTGCCGGGGTACTAACTTAGTGCACTTTTTATCAGTTAACTCTTGGACGACCGCAGTTTACATCCCATACCGATACCACACGCATAGCACAGGTATTAGTAATTACTTACGCATAAAAGATATTCTTTACCTGTATTTCAATCCCACTCTTATGTAAACACAACTACACTATTCTCTCTCTCTCTTCTCTCCTATCTCCTATAGTCTCTCTCTCACACATACTCTCTAGCATTATATGGCATTGTCTCGCATTCTCTCTCCCATTCTCTCTCACACTTATATAGAGTATAAATAGTGAGTATCTCGTGAATCCGAGACATACTTTTGTGTTTCACAAACGGAACTGACATATAGAGAGAGACCTATCATTACATAATACTTTTTAATTTTTGTCACTCGACTTTTAGTTTGTAATCAAATTAATTTTCATATATAAGTTGTGCCCAAACTATATACGTAAACATTGAGAACCAATTGAGCTCTCAGTTTAAGGTTCACGGTATCCATAGTTGGCTCATCCTATTGATCGCCTTCTTTATAGCTAAACATCACATATAATAAGCACTCAATTGTCACTCAAAAGCGATCAAAGGCTTGATTACTCAAAAATGATGAGCAAAACAGCACTTATTATACTGATTCTGGCGATGGTTTGTGTGGGCATACAGTCGATGCCATACTATTTCAGTAGCGATGAGTCGGACAATAATAAACTGCACCCTCTGTTTGGTCCATACGCTCGCAACCATTTCAATAACGGCGACCACCGTATGATTCCTCGCAAAACAAAACGTTGTAAGTTTTATATCATCATTTTATAAATTTATAGCTTACCTATGTAGTTTATTACTAATATTTTAGTAACTTTTTCACAGTTTTCTAATTGTTTGTTGAGTTATAGAAAACATTATTCAGTTCTTTAGTTATGAATACATTATAATTATATATCGAAACATAAAATATAGATATTGAGTATAGAATTTTACAATAATTTGTAAATAATTTTAAATAATAATAACAACAACAAACTTATCATAGTCTTAATAATATACAATTATCTATTTATTAAACAATTAAATTTTATAACCCTAAATATTAACTTAGGTGACACAGAATTTATATTATTTTGTGTCTAAACTATAAAACGATATATTAGATAAATGTAATGGTTAAATCTATAAAAATTAGTGCAGTTTTAGTGCCATTTTTAGTGCAGTTTTCTATATTTCTTAATAATATGAACTCAATATTAACCATGTTACTTATTTATATTATAATTAGCGCGTGTATTCATATGGAAGCACCGGGATCATTCAGCGGCAGAGGAGGCCCGTAAGATCATCGGTCTTATGGCGGCTCAGCATGAGTTCAGCCCGGGCAAATAAACGCACCTTGGTATATAAATTACTTGAAACATATTTAGTTAAAATAATTACATCTAATTTTATTCATTTAAAACTATTTTGTTAACTATTTTAATGTCAATGATTTCATGTGATTGAGAAACCAAATAATGTTTGTAATAATTTTGTAATAATTATTATAAATCTTATTAAATAACGAACAAAAACGAGATTTAGTTTATGTAATCATATATTAAATATAAAAGCATTAATCATTAAATTATAAAAACCACTTTGCTAATATTTCGATAGTGAGCGTAAAGTTAATATAAGATAGGGTAACGGTATGTAATTTATCAGGCTAATTAAATATACTAAGAATTTTGTTATTTAATTCATACTATACTGTGATATAACGAGAATAATCAATGAAAAATAAATGTTGAAAAGCAT